AGAATACGGGGTAGAGTGAGCCTCTTCCAAAATTTCATTTCTTATACTTTTTATATCCTTAGGTATACATAACCTTCCTTTGAAAGTCAGCGCATCATCTGCAGATATTTCAAACCCTATACATTTGTTTAAACCAATCTTAGTCTTTTTCTTCTGTAGAAATGGATCCTTACTTTGTGCTTCCTTGATTCGATCCCGAAGTGTAGGTTGAATCATGAACGCTTTTATCCTCACTGTAGTCTGTGTCGGTGGTGTGATGATTTTCCATCTTAGTTTCTCAAAGCCCCTTATCAAGTGTTTTTGCATTGTGAATAGAACTGCTAACTATAATTCTGTCTTTCTGGTTAGGGCATCTGCAACTACACGAGCCTTACCCGAATGGTAATAAATTGTGTAGTCATAATATTTCACTCATTCCAACGATCTCCTCTACCTCATATTCAGTTCCTTCTGTGTGAAGAAGTATTTAAGACTCTTGTGGTTTGCATAAATTTCACACTTTTCACCATAGAGATAATGACACCATATTTTTAAGGCATGAACTATTGCTGTAAGCTCCAAGTTGTGCGTTGGATAGTTTTGTTCATATTGCTTCAACTGTCTTGAGGCATAAGCAACCACTTTTCCATGCTGCATCAGTATACAACCCAAACATTGCTTGGAGGCATCGCTGTAGATCACAAATCCCTCTAAACCTTCAGGTATTGTTAATAAAGGAGTTGAAACTAGTCTCAGCTTAAATTCTTGAAAATATTTTTTGCATTTTTCTGTGTACTGAAACTTCACACCCTTCTTATCAACTGGTTTATCGGCCCTGCTATTTTTGAGAAGGCTTCAATGAATCTTCTATAATAATCGATCAATCTCAAGAAATTGCGAACTTTACCCACACTAGTCGACCTTGGCCAATTTGTTACCGCTTCCATTTTAGCAGGGTCTACTTCGATTCCTTGGGCTGTAACCATGTGACCAAGAAAACCTACGCGATCAAGCCAAAATTCGTACTTCTTGAATTTGACATATAATTTCTCATTCCTCAAAGTTTCAAGTACTATTCGAAGTTGTTCCTCAAGCTGACACTACCCATCTCGAATCACTCTAGTGGACTCGAAACGTGACGTGCGCTGATGATAAATGCCGACTAGATGTCAAATCTATCACCAAGGCTGACTATGAGTTATTTCAAAAAAATTGCAACAAAATCAAATGCTTATGTCAAATATAATGCAATGGGCCCAAAATATTTACTTCGTGTTTCATCAATATGAGTTATAATATTCAACATGTCGTGTGACTCTCATTCCGAAAACATATGAGTTGATAGCTCAGTGAGTGGAGAAATTCGAAAATAATATATCTCAACAACTTTTAAGCAAGCAAAAAGTAAATAAAAATAGGGTTTTGTACTTTCATATGTTTTGTAGAATAAAATATGGTTGAAAAATTTATTTAGTAAATGAGTGGATGCACCAATCTAAATTTCTTTATCGTTACAAATTTAAGTAAAGAATTTTAATTAGACAACGTTACAAATTTCTTTATCATTACAAATTACCCCTTTAATTAGCTAATCAAGATTCTTTACCTATTGTAGTGTTCGATTGAAGTCTTTCAACGTATTTAATTTACTTCTCTCGAGTTCAAATTGATTTATTTAAATAAGTCAATGTGAATTCGAATATACTTTAAATATCTAAGAGTCAATGTAATCACTGCACTAACTAGAAAAGGCATCTTTAAACTTTTATACTAATTATCGAATTTTACTATATGATCTACATCTATAATTTACCTCTCGATTCGTTATAGATTCAAAAATCATCAAATTATTGACCGAGTCATTCAAAGCTTTAAATAACGTAGATAAAATTAACACATATTAATTAAACTACTAAAATCTTGAAAATTAAATTAAAGGGCAACACATAAATTATTTTGTTTTCCTTAACTAATGATCTATCTACTCATACTAATGAAAGAAAAATAATAAAAGAGAATTTAGTTTATAATCAATTTTTAAAATCTTGATGAAAGAATGAATTGAATCTTACACCAAGAATCTTCTTCTTCTGTTCCCAAATCTTGCAAAACCTAATTTTCCACTCTTTATACTTGATTTTTTTTTTTTTTTATGTTTTTCTCTCTAAAATTGTGTGTCCCATAAAAAGAATTATTAAAACTATATATAGAAATCCATAATAACTCTAAAAAGGAATCCTAAAGCATCTCTAATATGAAATTTCAGTGTAATTAGCATATCATCTAAAGCTAGAATTTTATTTCAAATAAAGTGCACTTTGGTCCTCCATATTTAATTTTTGAGCGTCTGATGTCCACTTTATTTGCATGATAGGTCCTCAAGTTCAAGCCTTGATTAATTTGGCCCACATTCCTCAATTTTGTATCGCTTTAATCCAATTTCATCCAAACTTGTTCAGTCTGAACTTTCCCTAATAATAATCAAAATTAGAAACAAGCGCATAAAAAAATATCAATGATATACTTCAAAATGATATATTAGACACCATGGTCTCTTCAACTAATTCTTTCAAGGGTTTGGCTACACATACACGGCGGTGTAGACTCCAGTGTACACATCCCCTGACATGGGAGGTCGGAGGTCGACCGAAAGCATTTATTGGGCATGACGCCCCTTCCCACGTGAGGGGCGTGCACATAGGAGCATACACGCCTGGGTATAAATGGTTTTTCCCTTCTTTCAAAGAGAACATGGCCACATGAGTGGAAAGGTGATGGAGGCATAAAGGATAAGATCAAAAGAAATAGACCAGATTTGGTTGACTTGGGTTGGTCCGTCACGCTTGAAACTCCGGGCTTTGACAGTTCGACATGACCCGTCGTACAACTCTAGAGTGGGGGTAGGGGTGTTGACGAGGCTAGAAGACTTGGCCAATGACTTCAAGTTCAGATATTATTAATGCAGTTCTAAAAAGTTATCATCAAGAAAACTAATGGGGTCGTTGCCAATGAACTGCTTAATGTTGACTTTCACCATTTTATTACAAATCAATGGATTCCATGGTTGTATTGAGAAGGAGAGGAGGGGTCTTCTGGAAATCAAGACATATTTTCGATTGATGTATGGTGAAGAAGACACTACGCTTCTTTCATGGATTCATAGAAAAGAGAGTAACTGCTACAATTGGGAGAGAGTCACCTGTGATCCAACTATAGGCAGAGTAGTCGAGCTCGATCTTAACAATTCTCTCATTCCAAATACTCTTGATCCCCAAAATTATTTTCTTAATGTCTCCTTATTTGCCTCTTTTAAAGAAATAAGAATTCTTGATTTATCTGGAAATGACTTGCGGAGTTCTACCAATACTACAGGTAATGCCTAGTATTGGAGTATAAACTTATTTATAATCAGAGTTTAAGATTTTATTATGTGATTTACTCCATCCTATGTATAGTTAAATTACTCATAACTTTAGTAGAAGATTAATACACTATTGATGAAATCAATCAGTGCATTCTAAGCAGGTTTTGTAAAATTGGTCAATTTGAAGAGGTTAGAGAAGTTAAACCTTGCTTTAAATGAGTTCAACGACAGCATCTTCAAGTCTCTTAGCGTACTCAAGCAGTTGAAGTTTTTGAATCTCAGTCAAAATAATTTTGAAGGGCTTCTTCATGTATATGTAAATTTGTATTGGAGCGCATGAATCATGCATGATAATTGGCATTTATATAAAATCAACCTTTCTCAACTTGTTGGACAGAGAAAAGTTTTTCTTCTTATCTTTTGATCTTTATTGATTGTAGATCTATCGGGTTTGTGGAACTTGGAAATATTGGATTTAAGTTATAACAAGTTTGAGGGTAACCTCTCGTTGCAAGGTGAATATACACTTCTAGACTTTTAGCATTCAATGGTACACAACATTCGACACTACAATACAAGTTACTTCTTTAATCCCTATCCAGTGCGGTCTAATTCTCCAAATATGATATTTCTCAACATTAGGAATAATTGCATCCATGATTAAACCTGTTGTACACATATTTACTTTAGGATAATTGCATCCACGATTGAACCTGACACATTTTCGCAAACATTACCCAAATCTTTCATTTGTGGTACCTAAATTGCCAAACTTGTCATTATATTGCAGTAAAAGGATGCATGGACGGAATCCATCCATTTGACTATTAGTTGATCAGAAAAGTTGATTTTCACCATGCTTTGACAAATTTTGGAAGGGTAAAATATTAAATTTACATTATTCCATTTTAAATATTTTACTTTTTCTTAATATATGTGAAAATGAAGGTAGGTCTATCTTTATAGAATGGAGAGAGTAGATTTTTTATTTTTATTTTTTAATTAAAGATACACAATAGCATCAAATATTTTAATACATGTAAAATCTTGTTAATAGTTGATAAATACATTTTTATTATTAGGATTAGATAAAAAAAAGCTCTATTTGAAATAATACAAAAGATAAAGAGGAAAGCATAAAAAATTATGTTAGACAAACAAAGAACATAACAAATACAAAAGAAAGTTAATATCTATTAACAAAGACATATTCAACAAAATTTTGTCTAACTCTTAGCCCAAGTTTGGGTGTGTCTAAGATTAATCTTATTTATTTATTTATTTTTCAACAGACAACAGAATATATTCAATCGATGAACGATGAAGCTAGCACAAAATGCATAAAAATAGAGTGAAGTTATCCACTAGCTCTACTGCTCCAGATAATAGAAGGAAGAATGATGTAGCGAAAATTGTATTGTCTATCATACAAATCACTCAAACACGATTTTAGAATGTTGAAAAAAATGGGTGATTTATGTGTAAAATCGTGTGTAATAAAATCAAACTCCACTATATATATAACAAATTGATTTTCATTCATATCAATCTACGTCTTTTATCAGTAAAATTAAATTTCTATTCAAAAGGAGAATCTAAAATGTGAGACATTATAAAAAACATTTGATACTCTCGAAGGTATTTGGCTGCTTGGTCGTGTTAATCTCTCATTAGATAAGTCAAGGTTGGAGAATATTATTTTTAATGATAAATGAAGGAGCTGACTTTTTTTATGTTTCAGAAAATGAAATTGGTACAATTAAGGATTAAAATAAGATGTTAAGTATTTTATTTTATTATCATGATTCTGTTTATATATATATTCGTGTATCCTAAAATTTTAAAAAAGTTTTTGGTTGTACCCGTATCGTATTGTATTCAAATTACATATCCAAATTCGTGCTTCTTAAATATCATGCAACTTTCATAGTTAAGGTGACAATCAGTTCCCCACTACTTGTTAAGGGACCAGGGATTTGTGATATATGCATGTTTTTGCTAAACTTTTGAGGACTCCTATTTCATACTCCATAATTTGCAAGTTTCTGTGAACTTAAAAACCTCCAAGAATTAGATCTCAGTTGAAACACCTTTGAAGGAACGCTTCCTCATTGTTTCACCAACTTGAGCTCTATAAGAGTTTTAGATCTTTCTGTGAATCGTTTAAAAGGAGACATTTCCTTCATAATATCCAACCTCACATCCCTAGAATACTTGAGCCCAAATGATAATAAATTCGAGGGTAAATTATCGCTTAGTTTATTGGCTAATCATTCTAAGCTGGAGATCGTTGAACTGGGAAATATGGGAAGAATCGATGTTGAAACCGAAAATTCAAATTGGACCCCAAGTTTTCAATTGAAAGTTCTTATATTGTCCAATTGTAACCTTAATAAACTCAGTGGCAATAGAAAATTCAAATTGGACCCCAAATTTTCAGTTGAAAGTTCTTCAATTGTCCAATTGTAACCTTAATAAACTCAGTGGCAATATCCCAACTTTTCTTTCACACCAGTATAGGCTAAAAGTGATTGATCTCTCCCACAACAACCTGCAAGGATATTTCCCAAATTGGTTGCTTCAAAAAAATGTAGGATTAGAAATTTTGAGATTAAGAAACAACTCTCTTATTGGCCAGTTATCACTGCCTCCTCATCAGAACAATAGAAACTTGACTAGGTACGGGAAGACATGGGAAGAAAGTTTCTAAGCATTGAATATCTTAACCTTTCTGGAAACTATTTCGATGGCACCATTCCATCCTCATTCTGTAACATTTCGAACTTGAATCAATTGGACTTGTCTTTCAACAACTTCTATGGAGAAATACTAAAAGAACTGATTGCAGGATGCATCAATTTATCTGCTCTTAAATTATCCAGCAACAAGTTCAAAGGGAATATATTTTCTTCTAGCTTCAATTTGACAGGATTACAAGTTTTACGCCTAGATGACAACCAACCATATCTCAGGTGAAGTCAGTTGGATATCTAATATGACAAGCTTGATGACTGTCCTCATGTACAATAACTTCCTGAGAGGCCTGTTACCGTGTCAACTAGGGGTATTCGGGCTTTTAGACATCTCACATAACTCTCTTTCGGGACCTTTACCATCTTGCTCGAACATGCTGGGTCATATAGTTTTACAGGGAAATAAGTTGATCGGACCAGTACCAGATGCTTTTATAAATTCATCAGATCTACTAACATTGGATATGAGGGATAATCTTTTGTTCAGTACAATCCCCAACTCATTCCATGCGTTCTTCAACTTAAGGGTTCTTCTGTTGGGGTCGAATCAGTTGAATGGCTCCATTCCCAACCATATATGTAATTTGAACAAAGTTTCCCTGATGGATTTGTCCCACAACAAATTCTTAGGGATTATTCCTCACTGCATCATTAACATCTCTTTCGGGAAATTTGGTATAGAAAATCAACCTTACATTTGGGCTACCTCCATTAGATGGGAAAAGCTTCCAATCTATACATATGGGAATTTCTTAGTGACAACTAGCAACCAAATGAATCAAGATGATGGATATGATGTATTAGTTGAAGTTGAATTCGTTACAAAAGGAAGGCTCGGCTCTTACAAGGGAGACATCCTCAACTACATGTCGGGATTGGATTTGTCATGCAACAATCTAACTGGAGAAATCCCATATGAAATTGGAGATTTGGGTTCACTTCATGCGGCAAACTTGTCTCATAACCATCTTAAGGGTTCCATTCCTAAAATTTTCTCTCGTCTTTCGCAAATAGAGAGTTTAGACCTTTCCTACAATGGATTGAGTGGAGAGATTCCACCGGAATTGCTGAATCTCTACTTTCAGGAAGTGTTCAGTGTGGCTTATAACAACTTGTCAGGTAAAACTCCAGAAATGAAAGCACAATTTGGGACTTTTGACGGGAGCAGTTATGAGGGAAATCTGTATCTTTGTGGACTTCCACTGGAAAATAAATGCACTTCCACTGAGGAGATGCCAAAATCATCATCCAGTTCAGAGAGAGAGGACAGTAAATGGTACAAAATAGATATAGCATATTTTTATCCCACTTTTATTGTTTGCTACATCATGTTCTTTCTAGCAGCAATTGCTATTTTTTATATAAATCTCTCTTGGCAAAGGTGCTCAATTTGTGGAGTTGTGATACCATAAGTGCTATATGATTCTGTACCTCTTTTATGTAAGTTTGGAATACAAGTGAAAGGTCTATAGCTGGTAATATATAGTTACAAGTCTCAAAATAAACATCTGCTTATATGCCTCTTTGTTTCATTTTCCCCCCTATCAATTCCTCCCCTTTTGACATTCACCATTTATATGATGTGTAGACAATCTTTTTGGTTCCTTGCCACTCAAGATACAAGATTAACTCTAGTAATATCAGGAAATTTTCACAGTTGAGATGATTCTCAGTTCTTGAATAACTTGTTGAGGGCGGATGGGTTAGTGATCTATGCATTGTTCTGCTAAACTTTTGAAGATTCTTATCTCCTATTCTAGAATTTGTAGGTTTTGTGAACTTAAAAACCTTTTGCACCGTTGCTACATGTTTCCCCATGGTCCATGCCAATTAAGCCACTTGTAAAATCTTTGTTGACAATAATTGTTGACAATCTTTTAAGAGTTAGACCTCAGTTTAAAAGCCTTTGACGGAAATCTCCTTCATTATCTCACAAACTTGAGCTTGTTAAAAGAGTTTAGAATCTTTATATGAATCGATTCAGATGAGCTGTTTCCTTGATAATATCCAACCTCAAATTCCTAGAATTTATTAGCCTAAAATCTAATAAATCAAGAAAATTACATTTAGAGTGTGCTTGATTGAAAATTTTTCCATGGAAAATGACCTTTTTCACCCGAATTTTGATTTTTAGAGCGTTTGATTACCATTTTTTCCCATGGAAAATATTTTACAAACTTTGAAAATTTGCATTTGAGAAAAAAAAAATCTTTGTGGGACGTAGGTTTTTGTTTTTCCTCAAAACAAGAAAAACATTTCCCACGCCAATCAAGCAGACCCTTAACTTATGTGCCATTCATTCTAAGGAGGAGATAATTGAACTAATGAATACGGGAAAATTGGATGTTGAAATAGAAAATTTAAAATGGACCCCAAATTTGAGTTGAAATATTCGTTACTGTTAATTCATTGATCTGTCCAATCACCACCTACGAGGATGTTTTCCTAATTGATTGCTTTCGAAAAAAGCAGAATTAGAAGTTTTGAACATAAGAAACACTCTTTTGTTATTAAACAAACTTAGAATTTACGCTGAATGATTTATTACATTATCAATCATATATATAGGACTACAATCCCATATATAGAAGGAAAATAAAAAGGAAAGATTATAAAATTGTTTTACTAAAAGAGAAAACCCCATAGAATAGGATGTGTTAAAATGAAGATTTTAAATCCTGTTCTACGATTTCTATTACAGCTCTCCCGTATAAGTTGGTGCATCGATATATGCCCAACTGGATCATTATGTATGGAATGACCCACTACTTGAAAATTGTTACTTTACTCAGATTGAAGCTCCATGTTGTAAAAGCCACCCGCTCGCTACCAATTCCACTCATCATCTCGGTTAGATTCCCACTTGAGGAGTTACTTGAGATAAATGAGAAGAAGAGCATGGAGAGGTAACAATGGTAGCAACCTAAGCAAATTTCTTCCTCTTTTCAGCTTGCTTGTTTTTCAACTACTTCGGGTAATCTTTATAGCAAAAGCTAAAGTATTAGAGACAAATCCTATAACCAAAGTAACTTGCCTCTGTAATTCAGGATGAGCTAGTGTTTGTGTCTCTTCCAAACATGAGAGAGGATTAGATGTTAACTTAGTGCCTCAGACTGGGGATCATTAGTAACCGTTGTAAAGTTGTTTGTGATTGCTAGTGATGTAATGTGGCCATTAATTCCTTTGCAAAATTGATTGTACAGAAAACTAGCTCGTTCTTCAAGGAATGATTTGTTGGTACAGGAAATGAGAACTACCAGTGACTTAAAGTTTTCAATTTTCTCAAACCAGATATTTACTATCTGTAGGAAGTACTGAAAGTAAGAAAGTGCAATGATTAAGGATTTTATTTTTTCAGTTTATGCTTCTTCATATTCTTTTGGTAGAACTAATTTGTTAAACATTTCTTCTTCCCCGTTTCAATTGTTTCCTTTCTTCTTAGTATCTCAATTGATTCTTCTTGCTATCGCATTTGATTCTAGGGCTGGATAGTGGAGGTGACAGCTATGCCACTATGGTAAGATGTTGTGATGGAAGGTGAATGGATGGGGAACAACGGCTGTTGCTGGGCTTTGGGGATGGGTGCAGTGTTGTTCTAGGATAAGGACAGGAGGTGATGGTACTTGGCGTTGGTGGGATTAGGGGGTTGGTATTGAGGTGGCTGGGATGTTTTTTATCTTCTCTTTTTTTTATTCCAATTTTTAAGTGTATATATTTATTTATTAGTATTACTATTATTTTTTTTGGTGAGAGATAAAGGTGGTTAACAGAAAATACCCCTCCAATATAAGGTCATGTGCAACTCATGATTTGCAATAGAAAAGTTGATGGGGATCTACCTATGCACTGAAATTGAAATTTTTGGGTTGTATATGTCGAGAAAAAAATGAATGGCAACTTAAGTGCTTTACTTTTTAAAGTTTGGGGATCCTGACCATTATTCACCCTTTTTAATATATCATTGAGTTGTACAATCCTACGACTTTCTATAACTCCTGCTATTTATATTGGTTCCCAATTCTGACATAAGTGGCTGAAAAAAGGAATTCGGTCTTAAAACCAGTAGACTGGTGATGAGGTTCTTTCTCATACTTTTGTGTTCTATAGGTGTCTGTGCAGATATCGTAGTTTTAAAGAATGAGCATTGGTCATCCTTAGTACCTCTACCCTTTGAGGTTGTCATATATGCTGGATAGAAGGCCAGAGAGGAATCCTGGGATGTTGACAACTTTTTCCTTGAAACATTTTTCTTGTTCCATAATCTGCAAAAAATTATATTTTATGGTTTTACTTATTTAACAAAGGTGTAGTTAGCTAAGAAAGCCTTTTATTTTTTCTGATGTTGAACTAGGTGGAGATGATTCAGATCGGAGCAAACTTGTACAAGATTTAAACAATTTAACTAGGGAAGGAAATATCGAAAGTATGTTTTCGATTGAAATGGATTTGAGGGAATTAGCGTCCTTGAAGGTTCTTTTCATTGTTTTCATTTTCATCACTATAGTATGAATTTTCCTCATTACTTGCTAATATTGGTCTAAGGTTGAGGACGCCATTGTGCTCGCATTGGCTTAAAACCAACGATCAAATTTGGTCCAGCAATCTTTATTCGGTATTGAACACTATGAGTAGACTGGTTGCATATACTTCTTCTAATTACCCTCCCCCACTCCACAATAGCGCCCAAGTGATTTTCCTTGAAGAATATGATGGGAGAATTCACTAAATGTATTGTCTACTTTAGAACACTGTTGTCCAGTGATAAGTACCTGTCTATTGTAGCAGTATTCTAAGTCTGTGGCTGAAGCTACTGCTTCACCACTGAATCAATTACGGCTGCAACTCCCCTCATTTAGTTTTTCATTAAAAAGAAAGGTTACAACAAGTGGAATGTTTCTTTTTCACTACATCCCTCTTCAAATCTGAATTTTCTCTAAAAAATATATATTTCATGTCAATTAAAGTTAAGAGCATTGACAAGGATGAGAAGAAGAAAGACTCTCTACTCATTTTGTTCTTTGATAACCAAGAAAATTCAAGGTAGGTAGAGGTGCAAGTGTTTATTTCGTTTTCAAATTTGATTTTTCGATAAATGTTTGAATGAAATGGTACCTCCGAGTACAATGCTTCGGCAGTACAACAGCTTGAATGATTATTTTCCATCTCCATTTGTTATGATAATGCTATAGTAATTGGATTTTGTCGAAAATCCATCTACATGTGATGGTATAAATTTATAGTTCGAAATTTTTAATTTGACAACGAAATGTACCGATGATATCTATTGAGTTTAAAACTCATGGGTTAATTCCCTTTCTACATGTTAAATGGATTTTCCTTGGGGCGTGGATGATGGTAAAGGATGATGCGACATGCTATGGAGAACGCGGTGATTTAATATCTTGAAATGTTTACGTTTTTTTTTTAATTAGATTACTAGGGATGTCGTGTGTGGATCTATTCTATGAACATTCTTTATGAATAAATTATGTTTGAAAGTGGATATGTTTCATAGGAATAAATTTACAAATCGTCGTTTACAAAAAAAAGGGGGTTAGCGATTTAAAGTTTGCTGTCTCTATTTAAAAAAAATGTCAAATTCTGTCTCTTTTTAAAAATTCATAATTCCTTCGTTACTTGGAATTTTTATACAAAATAAGTGTCGATGGATAGCCTCATAAGTTAGCTATTGAATAAACTTGGAATCATATCAATCCGATGTCGGTAAAACTTTATATGTTGGTTGCATAAAGTAAACTGCACTGGTAGAGTTGCCATTTTTCCAGCTTCTACCTTGACTTTAAAAATTCATTACTTGACCGTTACTTGGAATTTCTAGATGCAATCAATTGGATTTGATAGTTTCATGGATTTGCTACTAAATAAATTTGAAATCATGTGGTTTTGATGTTTGTGGAATTTTATATGTCATTTTAAGTGAACTGCGCTGGTTTACATTTCTACCGGGTCGCTGCTGAATTTTGAAAAATATTTTATTATCTCATATGATGTCGATGGAAGCTAATTTTTGACTATGTCATTTTATAAGGAGTTTCGTGCTTTACATTAAAATTTGATGAAGTTTTGAGGTCGATAGGCAAATAAATTTATTTTGACAATTACCGTTTGAGACAAACTAAAACAGTAACATTACTTTTTAAGTTTTTGTCAAAAATTTCACGTCAATAGTTGTTACATGCACGAAACCCATTCTAAAAATATTTTTGAAATTGTTTGCTTTTAGTATTGAATTCCTGTTTAAAAAAAATTTACGACTAAAGTACGATTAATCTCGTGACGTTTCGATCCATGTGGGTCAGTACATTACAGCGTGATATCAGAGCATAAGTTTAGTCAATTATGCAGAAATGTCATTTTTTTACATAATATTATTTTAAGTACAAATAGGAAATTTGAAGATGAGAAAAATGAAATATTTAAGGCACTTCATGGCACCTCGCATCCAACAGTCGACCTCTTCAGATGACCCAGTATGTTTAGCTAAGCAAAATTAAAATTTTTTTTATGCAAAATGTTATGATTCTATAGTTATATTTTCCATGTTTCAATACATTTTATATTTTTCTTTATGTATACCTTATATGTAAAGATAAATGTAGTTTGAAAAAAAAAAAAAAGTTATTCAAAAAAAAGTTATATGTAAAGATAAATGGCAAAGGAAAGTCAAAAATTCATGGGAAAAGAACCATATTAATCAATAGAAGATAGATATCCGACCTTACCTAGATTTTGAGGCTGACAAATTTGTAGATCTTGACAATCACATACGAAACATGTACCAACATTGGCTAAACACAAAGAATGAGGATTAGTGACCAGTAATAGGTCATTTACTAGAAACTCTTGCACCTTGTAAGAAACAAATTGCAAAGCTTATACAAGAAAATATACTATCCCAAAATTTTGGAAAGTGAACCTAAGGAACTTGACTTTGAGGTTTTTGCAATGCATGTATCCATAATTGGGAGACTATGATTTGTGATGTTATCTCTCACATGGGACCCGAATAGGTTGTGATATTAGATTATGAAGTCGTACTTTCAATTGTGACCAATCCTAGCGAAGAAGAAGAGGAAAACCCAGAGGAGGACCTAGAAGAAGACTATGAGTGAAATGAGTAGAGATTACTCGTTTATTAAAAAAATTAATTATTAAATTTTTCGAAGGCATAAACCCCTACCTTCAATGGAGCATCTAGTCTACTAGTAGTTGAAGAATAGCTTCATAAGTTAGAATGAAGTTTTCGACTCATAGCAACATTGATGCCCAAACGGTCCAGTGTGTGGAATTTATGTTTTATCCCTAATGCAAGTCACTGGTGGGATTCGATGTTTCGAACTAAGACCCTAGAGCAACAATTGATGTTAACGTGGAGAACAATTCAAATAGGAAGTAATGGACAAGTACTTCCCTCAGTCTATAATAGATTCCAAGTAGAGTAAATTCCATCAATTCAAGCAGGGTAATATGTCTCGAACTGATTATGAACGAAAGTTTGACCAACTCTCAAGGTATACTACATACCTAGTTGACACAGAAATTAAGAAGACTCTAAGGTTCGAGCAAGGGTTAAACCCATACCTAAACAAGATTCTTATATCACATCATTTCACATCTAGTATTACTTGTAATAGGTCGGAGAGTACACTAGAAGCATCCCTTCAAGCTAAACATTGAACACGGATCAATTTGAGAAAGGAAACATCTCAAGGATTTCTAGTTAATATCTCTGGAGAAAAATTGGCAACGATAAAGATTGAGGATGTACCAGTAGTACAAGAATTTATAGATGTGTTTCCAGAAGATCTACCTGGTATTCCACCAGATAGACCAGTGGAATTCACAATAGATTTGGTTCCTAGAGCGGCACAAGTATCTAAAGCTATCAAAATGGCCCCAAAAGAACTTTAGGAGTTGAAAATCCAGTTATTGGAATTGTTAGACATTGACTTTATTCAACCAAGTGTATCACCATGGGGCGCACCGGTATTGTTTGTAAAGAAAAAAGATGGAAGTATGCGGATGTATATCGACTATCGGGAGTTGAACTGTTTGACCATCAAGAATAGGTATCCTCTCCCGATAATGGAGGAATTGTTTTATCAATTGAAAAGGGCTAAGGTATTTTCCAAGATCGATTTACGATCTGGATATCATCAATTGAAGGTTAAGGAAAGTGATATACCTAAGACAGCTTTCAGAACTCGTTTTGGACATTACGAGTTCACAGTTATGCCATTTGGATTGACAAATGCTCCGCAGTGTTTATGGATTTGATGAATAGATACTTCATCAATATTTGGATAAATTTGTTATAGTCTTCTTTGTTTTAAACATTTGATTTGCATTTTACTTCGTTAAAACATTGTTTTACATATTGAGTTCATTCCAATAATAAATTTTGCATAATTAGGGTTCTCTTCCTAAATTAGGGTTTTGTTTAGGTAAAAATTTAACTTGAGATAATTCAGTTTCACTTAAGGCTATGATAGATAAGATTAAACTAAATTGATCCACTTTATTACTTGTTAATGAACCATACACTTGCGGTAATTTAAATCAAAAGAAAATATTTTGTGAATAAGTTTTTGAAGCCATTGCCATGGATTGAGTTTAGTTTAATTTTATTTTTCTAGGCACTAATTTGAACTTTATATTTATATTTTTATTTATTTTTCGTTTAGGTCAGTTTGTTTTATTTTTGTTATAGTTCTTTAAATTGTTTAAATCTGTGTACTAGCACTATTTTTCACAGAGTTGCATGTCAACATCGACAGGAGGAGTCCAGGAGACCCAAAAATTGAGTGAACTTTTCATTTTTTGCAACGAAAGAGCACAGGAGCACATCAACAACGACAAGAACAAATGGCTAATGTGCAAAACAATCCTATCTTTCAAGCCAATGAAGGAGAGGCGGTGGACGAAGGAAATGAGGTTTTGGGAGATTTCTTGACTCCTCAAGTAATTCAAAGCCAGTCCATCATAGTTTCTCTATCCTTTGGGCAGCCTAATTTCCAGTTGAAGACCAATGTGATATAGCTGTTCCAGAATGGACAACAATTTTATGGAAGAGCCGAAGAAAATCCACATACACACATATCTCGATTCTTGGACATGTGCCAACACTTCAAGTATTAAGGAATTTAGGATGATGCTATTAGGGCTATTTCCACATACACTATAGGATAGAGCACTTGAATGGTTGGATTCATTTCCTGTAGCAAACACTACTACTTGGAACGAGCTAGCTCATAAATTTTACACAAAGTTCTTCTCGCTAGCCAAGATAGCAAAATTGAGACATGATATATCAATATTCAGTTAAGGAAATTTTGAATCATTCGATGAAGACTGGAATATATTCAAAAACATGCTCCAAAAGTGCCATTAGCATGGGTTTGACAAAAAGACCCAAATCAGATTCTTCTATATAGGGTTACTTCCGTACCACAAAAGCATGGTAGACTCAGCATCAGATGGCTCAATATCCACACGAACAATAGATGGGGCACTATAATTATTTGAAAGAATGGCCACCACTTCAGCCATGTGGTCTTCTGAGAGGGTAACCCCAAGGAAGACTCCGGGTGTCTACGAGATAGATACTTATTCAACCATATCTGCAAAGATCGACTTTCTATATCACAAGATGAAAAGCATATCACAGGAAGCACAAGCTAAGAAGAGAAATTGTAAAGAATGTGGAGCTAAGCATAAAACAACAGGTCCCAATCTTAGTGCAAGGAATTGAGCAGGCAGACTATGCACAATGGGGACAACACCAACAGAACAATTCGTATGGAGAACACACAATCCCATAAGGAAGAAGCATCCCAACTTCTCTTGGAGCAACCATAATCAGAATAGGCCACAGGGATAGTTTTAACAGTAAGAGAAGAGGCCTCAATTGGAAGAGATATTAGGAAAATTCATGGAAAAAGCTAAAGCCACTCTTCAAAATCAAAATGCCGCCATCAAAAATTTGGAGACTCAGATGGGGCAGCTAGCCATTGCATTAACTGGGCCAGGTAATTTTCCAAGTAACACAGAAATTAACCCCAAGGAGCACGCTAAGGCCATTACAACTCGAAGTAGGGTACAACTACCTGAAATACATGTAAAAAGGTCAGATGTGAATGGAGAGATAGCACCTCCTACAGAGGAAGAAACTAAGGAGCAAGACAAATAACCAAAGGAATCAACTCCAAAGGAAGGTTCAGAGAAATCACGGGATAAGGCCAAAGTTACAATCAACCCATATGAACCTCCAATTCCATTTCCACAGCGGTTGAAGAAGAATAAAATGAAGCAGCAGTACAAGAAATTTCTAGAAGTCTTCAAAAAGCTCCATATCAATATCCCGCTCACCGATGCACTATTCCAGATGCCCAGTTATGCAAAGTTTCTGAAGGATAATCTTCAAATAAACGCAAGCTGGAGGACCACGAGATAGTAATGCTAACAGAGGAATGGAGTGCTAGAATTCAGAAAAAGCTCCTACCGAAATTAAAAGATCCAGGGTGTTTTACTGTTCCTTGCACTATTGGTGAAGTTTATTTTGATAAAGCCTTATGTGATCTTGGTGCAAGTATAAATTTAATGCCTTTATCTGTTTTCAGGAAACTCGACTTAGGAAAGGCTAAGGCGACTACTATGACACTACAGCCAGCTGACAAATCATTGACACATCCCAGAGGATTAATAAAAAATGTACTTTTGAAGGTTGAAAAATTCATATTCCCTATGGATTTCCTCATCTTGGACATGGAAGAAGACAGTGACATTCCGTTAATACTTGGCAGACCGTTCTTGGCAACAGTGAGAGCTCTAATTGATGATCAGAGAGGGCAGTTGATCTTAAGCCCCCGTTTAACCCCTATTACTTGAAAATGAAAATGGGAAAAATAGTATTTTTTAGAAAAATGAGTGGTTGAAAAAGAAGAAAAAGTTTTCGATTTACATGTAATATTATTTTATGGAAGATTGTGTGGTTGAAAATAGGAGAGAGAAAAATGGAATGTAATGTAATTAAATTTAATGGGGATCAAACAAGGGCTAAGATGAGAAGAGGAGCAGGTATCATTCAATACTTTTAAAGCCATGAAACTTCCTGCAAAATTAGATAATTGCTTCCAAGTTGATGTCACTGACAAGATGGTCCAAGAAACATTTTTACTTAACAGCACATCCGATGGTTATGAGGCATGTATTGCACATTCCCAATCAGCCCAGTCAGATTCTCTTGAGATTGAGACATGTGCAAGGTTTTGGAGACCAATCCACCATACACACGAAAAAGACACTTCAAGGAACTTGGAACAGGAATCACAAAGTCACTGCCTTTCATTCAGCAGTCGCCGGTATTGAAACTCAACCAACTACCACCACATCTCAGATATGCCTATTTGGGAGAGTCATGTACACTCCCGATGATTATTTCAAACATAGTCAATGAGGTGGGGGAAGAAAAACTGCTTATGGTACTATGAGAAAATAAACGACAAATGAGTAGACGATAGCTGACATTAAAGGGATCAGCCCTTCACTGTGTATGCACAAGATTCTCATGGAGAAGAATTGTAAGCAAAGTATAGAGGGTCAGAGAAGACTGAATCCAAATATGAAAGAAGTGGTCAAGGCAGAGGTATTGAAATTATTGGATGCAAGCATTATCTATCCAATTTCAGATAGTGCATGGATCAGCCCAGCTCAAGTTGTGCCAAAGAATGGGGGAATCACAGTGGTGTAAAATAAGAAGAATGAGCTAATTCTGACCAGAACAGTGACAGGATGGAGAGTTTACATCGATTATAGCAAACTTAAAGCAACTACATGAAAGGATCATTCCCCACTCCCATTCATTGATCAAATGCTGGAGAGGTTGGCAGGGCATTTGCATTACTATTTTCTTGATGGATACTCGGGCTACAATCAAATACCAATTGTGCCAGATGATCAGGAGAAGACCACATTCACTTGTCCCTACGACACTTTTGCCTATCGTAGGATGCCCTTTGGTCTTTCCAATGCCCTGACCACATTTTAGAGATGCATGATGGAAATATTCTCTAATATGATTGAAAGATTTATAGAGATGTTCAAGGATGATTTC